AAACTGACACTTGAAAGATAAGTAGGAACTAAGTATAGATGGGGAAAGAGCATTCCAGGCACTGGGAACATATTGTGCAAAATATGGAGACAAAGATAAGAACCAGATTGTGCACATAGTCAGATGTGATAAGAGTAATAAAAAGTATTATCAAGAGTACTAAGGATAATAAAAAAAAAAATCACTGAAGGAGTTTAAAGAAACATCTAATAACAAATCTGCATTTTTTTTTTTTTAAAGATGATCAGTAAAGGGATCTTAACCCCTGACTTGGTGTTGTCGGCACCACGCTCTCCCAAGTGAGCCACGAGCCTGCCCCTCAAATCTGCATTTTAAAAAGCTTTTTCTAGCTATTATAAGATGGATGGTTAAGTTGGGGGTAAGCAATGGTAGACAGAGACAGACCAGGGAGGACGGTATAGCAGTACCAGAGACAAGAGATTACAATGGCTTGAACTATATGAACATACCATGGCCCACAGCAGAAAGGAACGAAAAGCAGTGGCAGTGGTCCATAGTGGCAAGTAGTGTTAGTAGAAAGAAGGAGAGAAAATTAAGAGATCAATGACTTCAGTTTCATCAATGCTAAAGTTTGGCTGTCTCTGAGATATCCAAGTAGATTACAGTGAATTGGCAGTTGTAGGCCTAGAGACATAAATTTAGGGATAATGAGCATAACAATAGCTACTCTCAAAATAACAGTGACAAAAATGGACTCACAAGGATTTTCCGGTCCTGTGTCCACACGCTTACAGCTCATTGATGACCATGTCTATCTTTTAACAACAAAATGGTTCCTGTAGGGAAATTAGTGATGACTGTTGCTCCATCCCTGCCCACCTCTGCCAACCCCTGCCTTCCCACCAGAAAGGGAGAGAACTTATGTGAGATCATTTCCTATATAAGACCAGTTTTTTTTTTCTTTTTTGTCTTTTTTACTGACCAGTAACAGGATCGCAACCCTCGGTGTTGCGCCCGTACCAGGGACCGGCAACGGGATTCGCAACCCTCGGTGTTGCGCCCACACCGCACTCAGCCAGTGAGCGGGAACCGGTCTCCACATGGGCTCCGAACCCTCAGCGGGAGCGCCGCCGCACTCTCAAGCGGCGCACTCTCCAGTGCGCCACCGGGCCGGCCCTATAAGACCAGTTTTTAAAAGACAGGCTCTTAAATGCAACACAAAGCTATCACTCTGGCCTTCACAGTCCTTAAACGTACCAAAATTTCCTGATTTTTAAAGCTCCGTAGAAAAACAAAAGCCCTATATCACAAACCACTGATACCTCATAAATGATTTACTCTGTGTCTGCAGCAGGTGGTATCTCTTTTTAGCACATTCTCCACAGACTTTGATCCAGGCGTCAAGTTGCATCAGAGTGGGAAAGTACATGACACTGTGTTAATTTCACAGGGGCATAATTTGACACATCATGCTCTTGAGCCCCAGGAACTCCTCCCTGCCCACTAACTATCATTTTAGACACTAGACATTTAGTTTCATCCAATATGTGGTGTCCAAGTCCACTACCCAAAGGAATAAGCTGACAGCACAAAAGGATAACTATCCCCAAGGGCTCTAAGAAAAAAGGCCAGCAACATCGACACACACACACACACACACACACACACACACACACACACACACACACACACACACACACACACAATGATGGGTGCTACAGCTACCTCTTCGTTCCTACAGTCCATTCTTTACTTCCACTAACTACCTGTAGCCTGTAAGAAATAAAGCAAGACATTTCATGAAATATGAGGATAATTATCTTAAGTTGTAATGGGTATTAGAAAAACTTGACTTTCTGGGTACTAGAGACACAAACACTATCTACACTGAGCTCCCAAGTGTAGGGCCTAGGTATTGGTGCTGAAATTCACAAATGAGAAACTATCCTGTTTGGAAGGAATTGCCAAAAAGAGGCCCCTCCACAGAGCTGGAAAGGTAAAATACAATACTCCTCTAGCTTGGGTAAACCATTACAAATACCTTTAGAATTTCAAATTACTTTTCCAAAGACATGTACACTTTGAACAAGGCTATTAACTCCCTTAGGTCTGATAATCTAGACTAGACTTTTTAATACATTTTAAAAATGCCCAGATGGGTTTAAATATGAAATCGCTTTCTAAAAATGAAAATGATTTAATTTCAGGAAGCTACATCTAAAATAAATGGTATGAGCTAGGCCAAAAGAACTTCCATAACCAACCCTTACTGTGGCAGGCATGGAGGATGTTCTCATCCCTCATATTCAAATTTATTTATTTATTTATTTATTTTTATTTTAAAGATGACGGGTAAGGGGATCTTAACCCTTGATTTGGTGTTGTCAGCACCACGCTCTTGAAGTCAGTGAACCAGCCATCCCTATATAGGGATCCGAACCCTTGACTTGGTGTTGTCATCAGCACACTCCCCGCAGTGAGCCACGGCCCCCTCATATTCAAATTTAGAAGCTCTCTTCCCTAAAGTTACCAAAGTCACTATACATATACATATGTATGCATGCCCAACACACAGTAGGTATTTAAACGTATTTACTGAATGATCAATTGTTTATAAATGTAAGTTACTTTATCAAAAAGAGGAGGGAAAGCCTATTTCTGATCCTTATTAATTAAACATTTTTAAGGTACTTAGAGTAGACCTAACTTTAGATACCACAAAAATGATCAAAAAATTCCTCTAGTTTATTTTTTTATGTTTATGCTTATTATTTTTTTTTTTTAAAGATGACCGGTAAGGGGATCTTAACCCTTGACTTGGTGTTGTCAGCACCAGGCTCTCCCAAGTGAGCCATGGGCTGGCCCTAAAATTCCTCTAGTTTAAAACTAAAATGACCAAAAACTTCTTCCAGCATCAAATAAAAATAAGGATATTCCTGCTTCTCCTCCTTCCCGGCAACTCCATTCATTGTAGGCACACATTCTTGGAAGAAGCTACCTGCTGCAAACCTTAATTCATTTTGCTTAATCTTTTTTTTTTTTTTCCTTTTTGTCTTTTTTTGTGACTGGCAACGGATCGCAACCCTCAGTGTTGCGCCCGTACCGGTCCAGGACCGGCAACGGGATCGCAACCCTCGGTGTTGCGCCCGCACCTCGCTCAGCCAGTGAGCGGCCGGTCTGTATGTGGGATCTGAACCCTCGGCGGGAGCGCCACCACGCTCCCAAGCGGTGCACTGTAGCAGTGCGCCACCGGGCCGGCCATTTCGCTTAATCTTAAGAAAAGGCAAATCTGAGAGAGTTCCCAAATAGATGAAACTTTAAAAAAAAAATTTAAAAAGCCAGAAATAGTAAGAAAATGACCAAGTACAAATATTTGCTGAATATTATGTTGAAAAGCCACTCCCTCCTCAGTGTATCACTCCACTAAGACTTGCCCAGTTTATAGAAGACTCCTTGTGAAGTTACAACTGAGATCCACAGCCAAAACTGAATTTAAAGAAAAATTGTGGCTCCTAAATCATAGAATTTATCCCAATTTAACCCAATATGTTTACAAGGATCCTAAAAATAATAATCTTAGAACAAATCTATAAGTAATTAAGCACTATAACATATATTAAGTGATCCTTCCGATAGCTTTAATAAGAAGGAAAAGTAGGTGTCATGATCTTCATTTTATAGAAAAGGCAATTGAGGGTAAAGGAGAGGAAGTGATTTGTCTAGGTTTACAAAGCTAGTTAAGTGACACAGCCAAGACTGAACCACAGGAGTTTTCTGACTCATAACTTGAACCTCTTTATATGAAACCATGATAAGCTTTCATAAACCAGCCAAAAAGGCTTTACACAAATCTCAGAGGATAATTTAACCACTACAGCATTTTTTTTCCTTTTTTTTTTCTTTTTTACTGACCGGTAACGGGATCGCAACCCTCAGTGTCGCGCCTGTACCGGGGACCGGCAACGGGATCGCAACCCTCGGTGTTGCGCCCGCACCGCGCTCAGCCAGTGAGTGGGAACCGGTCTCCACAAGGGATCCGAACCCTCGGCGGGATCGCCGCCACGCTCCCAAGCGGCGCACTCTCCAGTGCGCCACCAGGCCGGCCCAACCACTACAGCATTTTTACAAAAAGGACAATAACAGAAAGAATTGCTATGTGTTTCATACATTTTTTAAAAAGCATATGATGTATACATAAAGTATACTTAATAAATATGAATCCTCCTCCTTAATTACTTCTCTTATGTTTCTTTAAGGAAAAGTTTCGAATCCATAGTTTTATCACAGCTGTTTCCTTAGTGTTTACCAAATTTGGTTTTTAGTAAATCTTGGTGGGAGTAGGTGTGGATATGGCATGGGTGTATATAATACAGGTTCTTGGGTGCCAACATAAAGATTCCAATTCATTAAGTTCAGACTCCATATTTCAACATTCTAGATGACACCACCCCAATATCACCCCAATAGAATTCTTAGAGAAAAGGCAATCCAAGAAAATATAAGAAATTAAAATCAAAGGACAAAGACTATTTACCAATCTCCCCTAACTCTGAAGCTGGAAAGAAAGAGGAAAAAAAAAAGTTTGGGGACCTATTTCAAACTACTCTCCAAACTTAGCTGTCCTTGCCCAACTTGTCAGAAAAGTTGGTCTTCCCCTAGTACTATGTTACAGAACCGATGTAGATGCAGTTTCAATTTTAACATTCTACCTTTTTAGCTTCAGCCTACCAAAACTCAGTAAATCCTAAAACACAAGGGTAAGATTGTGATGTATATTTAAGTGGAAGCTTTGCCCAAATGCTAGGCAAAAACTGAGACACGGAAGGGAATCTGGGGGGAGGAGGCGTGGGGAAGAGGGGAAGATCTGATCCAGCAGGAGAAGTCACCTGGCCCACTGGCTTCCCTGGCCCAGATAGGAAGAGTCCACAAAAAAAATTCTGGAATGGGATTCCTCCAAGTGATACTGAGAATAGTTCCCAAGAGGGATTCTTAAATAGGAGATCATAACATAATCATAATGGTAATAATAATCTACTTACAAGCTGCCTCTTCTTGGAAGGCTCAACTCCTTCTGAAAAACAAAACACACCCAAATTAGTCAGAAATAAGGACCTATCTGTAGAAATGCCTAAATGTCCTAGGAGATTTATAGCACTATCTTAATAATGGCAAAGACTAAATATTTCTTTCTTTCTTTTTTTTTTTTAAGATGACCGGTGAGGGGATCTCAACCCTTGCCTTGGTGTTGTCAGTACCACATTCTCCCAAGTGAGCCACAGGCAGGCCCAAAATATTTCTAAATGATAATCTTTTCCCTTGCCTCTTGAATTTTAGTAAAATAAAGAACAGTCAGATTATCTATTACCTCTTTATTTATTCTTCCTTCCTAAAAGGAATGTATCATAGAATACTTGTGACATTTTTCCCACTAGATGGAACCATCTCCCCAGTGTGGATTCCAGGCACTCTTTCGGCCAGCCATTAACTAACTGCTGATGAATTGTAAATGATAGAAATCCTTAGAGGCAAGAATAGGAAAGGAACAAAATGGGATGGGAAGGGGAGGGAAGTAGTTAATTAGAAAATATTTTAGACAAATAAAGAAGTATAGAAAATAATATAACAAAGAGATGACTGCACACACCACTGGCATGAGAAATAACCCTTATAATAACAGCTGGAGCCCCTGTGACTTGCTTTCCAAATATATCAAATTCCTCCTCCCACCAGTCCCCACTTGACAACTATTCTTAATTTGCTGTTTGTTTTTTCCATATGTTTTATATTTATTATATATATTCATAAATAATTGTTAGTTTTGTTTTACATGTTTTTCATTTATATATACATGGGTTCGTATTATATGTATTCATCTGCTAACTTGTCAACATTATAAAAATTGGATGATTCACCCATGCAAATATATTTCACTTTAATTTATTAATCTGTAGACAGAAGTCCAATCTATAAATATACCAATATTTATTTATCCATTCTCCAGTAAATGAAATTTTTCTTTCCATGTTTTTCTTCTCTGTCAAAACAATACTCCTGTAAATATTCTCGTACTTGTTTCCTAATGCACACATATAAAGTTTCCTGGAAGTGTAACACTTAGATGTGGAAATGCTGAGTCATAAAATATCAGATATTCCAAACTGCCCCGCAAAACAATTGTACCAATTTACCCTCCCCCTCCAACACTTCATAAGTTTTCTCCTTCCCAGACCTGTTTCCTAAACTCCAAACACTTACAACTAACTGCCTACTCAACACCTCAAAGCCAACATGTCCAAAACTGAACTGTTCTTTCCACCAAAACTGACTGCACCTGTAGCTTTTCTCCATCTCAGATGATGGTAACTCTATTCTTCTGGTTATTCAGACCAAAACTCTGGACAGCTGGACTCCTCTGTCTTTTATATACCCTATATGTCCCACCCATCAGGAACTCTTAATGGCTCTAACTTAAAATACATCCAGAATCAACCATTTTCTCACTATCTCCACAGACACATGCTTCTAATCTCTTAAACAAAAACCTTGGACCTAGTATTGTTCAGAAATCAGAATTTTTTGGTGAGTTTATTAAAGTAATAGTGTGTGTATGTGTGTGTATTTCAAAAAGTTCATAGAAAGATTCATATTATCTTTTAATTCTATTTTTCCGCAAACTTTTTTGAAGTACCCTCATATATCATACCCCCAACAAGGACTGGAGCAGCAACAAAATACATTAAATACATCAAAATTTCTGGAGCAAAATTTATGATAGTCACAATAAATGTGATAAAAACTCTAGAGTCTCAGTTCAAATTTGTCACCAGCAGAGTTCAAGTTAGGTAAGTTTTACTGCTAAAAGAGTCATGAAAAACCTTGCTGGTTTCTGGTATTGCAGCCAAAGCCGTCATGGTTTCTTCTCTAGCCTCTCAACAGTCTTCTGACTACTATCCTGTTCCTGCTTCCACCCTAGGCCTCTATAGTCTATTCTCAATGTTAACAGAGTAATCCTTCTTAAAGGTAGGTTAGATCATAACACTCCTGCTCAAAATCCTCCAATGGCCTCCAATTTCACTGAAGGGTAAAAGCCAAAATCCACATAAAGACCTAGAAGGGCAGCACACCACCCCTCTCCAATCTCTCTCTGACCTCTTCTCCCCCTTGCACACCGAACTCTCTATTCAGCCACACTGGAGACTCTATTGTTCCCTAAACATATCAGTATTCTTCTGCCTTCAGGCCTTATGCTAATCTATTCACTCTGCCTAAAATGCTGTTCTTCCCCAGATATCTCGTTGGCTAATTTCCTAACAGCCTTCAAAGTCTTGGCTCACTTTTCACCCAGGTTCTCAATGAAATCTAATCTGATAGCCCTACATATAATACTACAACTTATTTTCCATCTCATTATCCTCTTCCTCTGCTCTACTGCTCCACCCCCCGCACCCCCCAATCTTATCACCAATACACTTATCAGTTATAACACACAACATAATTTACTTATCTATTATGTTTATTGCTTATTTTCTATCATCTCCTTCTAGAATCTAAGCTCCACGAGGGCAGGGATCATAGTCTGTTTTCTTTACTAATGAATTTCAACAACTTAGAGCAGTGACTGGCATGTACTGTGTGCTCAAAAATAGGTGTCGAACAAACTATTTCACATACTCTTCAATACTTGGTATTGTTAGTAATTTTCACCAACCTAATGGCTGTGATCATATCACAATATGGTTTTTAACTGGTACTTTCCATAATTACTACTGAAGTTAAGTAATGTTTTTTATGTTTATTGGCCATTAGGGTTTCCTCAACTGTGAATTGCCAATTTATATCCCTGGCCCATTTTTCTATTAGGTTATCTTTTTTCTTACTGAGTTATAAGTGTCTATCTGATATAGACTGAATAATAATTTCTAGGTTATACTCATTGAAAATATGTTCTCTCGGTCTTCTTACCTTCTTTAACAGTATCATAAAAGGCTCTAATTTTATTTAGTCAAATTTGTCAGTCTTTCCTTTAAATTATAATCTTTTGTACAAGAAATCCACCCCTGAAACACAGAGACATGAATATATGTGCTTATATTTTCTTCTAAAAGTTTCACAGGTTTACTTTTCACAATAAGTTTAATATACACATGCCACATTAACAACATTTCAGTCCACAATGGACTGCATATACAGTGGTGGTCCCATAAGATTATAACGGCTATACCATATATCCCAGGTATGTAGCAGGCTATACTATCTAGGTTTATGTAACGTTCTAGCTAATATATGTTACAGTCTATGATGTTCCCAAAACAACGAAATCACCTCATTTCTCAGAAAGTATACCTGTCCTTAAGCAATTCATCAATGTGCCTGGAACTCATTTTTGTGTATGAAGAGATATAGTAATCCCATTATATTTATTTCTATATGGATGATCAATTATCCCAGCTCCATTTATTAAATAATATACAATATCAGTCCTGTCATATATTATTGCCATATGTGCAGGAGTCTATTTTTTGGCTCTATTTTATGTTCCACTGTACTGTGCCTATACCACATAGGTCTAACTACTATAGCTTGGTAATAAATCTTAATATTTGTAAGGCAAGTCCACACGCATGACTATTATTCTTTAAAATTACATGATTAAATGAGATAAATATTTATAAAGCACTTAAGCACAATCCTTGGGATTTGATGAGCTTTCCAAAATGGTAGTGAATATCATTTTACAACTTTATTTGATTGTGAGCTCCTTGAAGGCAAGGATCACATCCTATTCATTTTGTATTTTGAACATAGAGCCTGGTGCTCCATGAAAGTTTGCTGAATTGCATTACTTGCCCCTGTATAGAAGCTAGGTCACTACACTTGCCTCATATCCCGATATATTTATAGGTCTCTTTAAGACCTTTAAATAAAATACACTCAAAAAATATAAATATAAAATAGTAATAATACCCATTCAATACTTGAGTCTTTTCCCTCAGAATTATCACTAACAGGACATTAAATCTCTCCAAAGGTCATCCAGCGTGTATTAAATCAGAAGATACAATAAAATTTTTACCTTATCATGAAACAATTATCTGAAGGACAAATAAGGTTACGTGCTATTCAACCAATACATCTCTCATCATGGCTGCACATATTTTTTATTTTGAAGTCTATCTCTTCTCTAAAACCTGCCAGACTTCCAATTCATCAAAGGAAACCTTTTATAGCCGCTTGGAATGCTCCCACAGATCAGTGTTTGATAAAATATAATTTAAGACTAAATTTGAAAATGTTTCAGGTGATTGGAAGCCCATTGGCCAAGGCCAGGGGACAAAATGTCACCATATTTTATGTCAACAGATTGGGATACTATCCCTGGTATACATCACAGGGATTCCCCATTAATGGGGGTCTCCCCCAGAACACGAGTTTGCAAGGACATCTGGAGAAAGCTGACCAAGATATTACTTATTACATCCCTGCTGAAGATTTCAGTGGACTTGCTGTTA